GGGATTCAAGTTATCAATCATTCAAGTGTTTGTAATATGAAAAAAATAGCTCATACTCTCATGTTTAGTTTCCTGTCAGTAGAGTGGTAGAAGAGAACTGATATTTTTCATGGGGATGGAAGAGAAAATAAGAACTTAGTGAGGTTTTTTTAAATTAATTAAATAAGCTATTGGGAGATGTATGCCAATTGACAATACTGGTGGTCTAAAACTCAAATATATCTACCTCTAAAATTAAGTTTTAAGGGGAGAGAATTGTGTAGCACTTCCCCCTTCCTTGGATTTTGTAGCTAGAATCCCAACTCCCTCCTTTTATTCCTGTTCTCCCACAGACAACATTGTGGGAAGGAATGTTGAACATGCCTCCCTCTAGACCCAGCAGATACTACTCTCAGCTGGAGATGGTTAGTAGAGAACGTAAGACAGACCTTTCATTCAGAGAACAAGTGCACTGTGTGCAATCCCAGGTCCCTGCTGGTATAAGGCATAAAAACTACAACGTGGATGTGCAGATTATAGCCCACCAGGCCAGTCCACTTCAGGTTTGTGGGCTTCCAATATCAACTTTTTTTTTACTGCTCTTCTCTCTCCCCTTCTGTCACAGAATCAATCTTCCTGTGTCTGCCTCTCCTCACTAGTTGCCTCCCCAGGAATATATACCAGTTATGGTACAAGTTGGAGGAACAGCAGTGTGAAACTGATGTAATTATAGTTTTATGCCACTGCTCTTGCTAGATCAAGAAGAAATTGTTTTGTACTCTGCTAGCTTAATCTGCCTTTCAGCTATGGTATCACTCAAGTGGGAAATATACAGTGAATTATAACCAAGTTAACAGGTAACTAAAGGAGTACTAGCAAATAAAAACAATTTAATTTAATTGAGCACCTCAACTGTAGGTCTTCACTGCCAAAACCTAAGTCTTACTGCTGAACAGAATACATGAAAAAGTTTGTCAACCTGTTCTGAAATGTTGTAGTAACCTGCTTCCAAGTTCAGTGTATTTTCTTGATGAAGCTGCAAAACACAAGGTAATTTTTCATAATCTGGATTGATTTATTTTATACGTTCAGGTGGATTACTCAGTTCATACAATCAGTCTGAAGGACTGTTTTTCCATGGTATAGTTCTTAAATCCTGCAATATTTAACATTGCAATGTCTTTGAAAAAGGTTAGATTTATTTTTACCCAGTTAGCCTTTTGCTAAACTCATGTCAATCATTACATTCAAACTTTTACTCAGACTCAAAGGCCAGAAGGGACCATCATGATCATCTAGTACAGTGGTTCTCAACCTGCGGCCTGTGGGCTGCTTGCGGCTCAAGCAGCATAGAGTTGTGGCCCATGTGACATTTTCAGGGCCACACTGCTAGGATTGGATGCAGCCCACAACACATTGTGGGATGCATATGCAGCCCACAATGGTAAATAGGTTGAGAACAGCTGATTTAGTCTGACCTCCTGCACGTTGCAGGCCACAGAACCTCGCCCACCCACTCCTTTCATGAAATCCTGCAATAATTCACTTCCTTCCCCCTCCCACAGTTTTATGTATCTGTAAAGTAAATCTATCTTGTAGAATTCAATTTTATTAGAAATACATTACTAACTTTTTAAACTATGGGTATTCTCATCCCTTCCTCACGACTTGGGCAGATGCATCCAATTAATTATGAGTCATTCAACATCAGAAATTTCCTGTTCAGAGCATGCTGGCAATACCACTAATCACCTACATTGCACGAAATGCAGAACTCATTTTCTATCCTACTACTACCTTTTTTTGGTCTAAGACTGTAAAAGGCAGTTTCCAGACTTGTGGGCTTGGCTTCCAAAAAGGGTAGGGTGGGAGAGAAAGCTACTCATTTTGGATTGACAGATCCACTATCCTTTCTTTATTTAAAAGAAATTAAATTACTGTGTACTGTGAAGAGTGGAAGGAATTAGAGATCACCTGCAGAACTAATGAAGTCTGATATCCTGATGTGCCAAATGTTAGTAACATCTTTATCTCATCCCAATATGAAGGAAGTCTAGTATACCTTGATTAGCACAAGGGTGTTCTAACTCACTCCTTGAAACCACAGCCAACTGACATACTAGAAAAGTTAGCCTCTGAGTATGGTGAGTACCTTTGGAATTCCTAATTCCAAGTTTTGAAAATGAAAGTCTAGCTTCAAGAGGATTTCAATCATCCGATGAGTGCTTTCGTAGTCTTTTTTTACTCAGAAAGGTTTGTGGATGCTGAAGGGCTCTGAAAAATCCATGTCAATCCACAGTATGGAAGTTACTAAAAGGCTTAGAATGAATCAAGAAGGCACCTTTTGCAAGAGCTTCCTTTTTTCTAAAACAGCTGAATAAGATGTCTTGAAGGCAACATGTGATCAAGGTCAGGAGGAGCTTAGCCTGCAACTTTGTTCTTTGACTATTATGATCAAGTTCCATTCTCGGGTGCTGATGGCCCGTTCATGAGCAGTCTGCCCTGTGGATTAGTTTGCCTCCAAAGCATTTTCAATAATTTTTCTTTGCTTTTGGGAACTATTTTTATCTTCCTCAAGAACGTCATAGCCCACATACTGTTTAACCAATTAGAACATCCTACTTTCGGGTCCCTCCTAGTGGGGCTTGTGAAGCCTCAAGTCATGAAAGTTGATGGCCATTTGAGGCTCTCTTCTGGTCTGGTTCTCCAAGTTTCTTTCTGGAAAGTTCCCTTGTTTAAAGGCTGAGAGCTCCTTCCTGATAGTTTCACTCTTTCCTTCATTTTTTGGAGATAAAGGAAACTTGTCTGGGAAATGCAGATAACGCACTCAAAATCCCCCCCCACCACCCTTCTAAACATCTGCTGTACAGAAAGTCACCACCACCACAATCTCATGTTAGCCAATGCAAATCAATAGTCTCTCGGCACATACGTGCCATCAAATTCCAGAAACCCTGTAACTTAATCAGAATCCCAGTGCTCATACCTAGAATGTTTCTACCATACTGAAAGCTGTTAAAAAAACAACACAAGTTTGAGAGATTTCCTGTAAAAATAATGGGGGATTCCAGTAGAACCAGTACAGATTTTCAAACAAGTAGTGAAAATTAAGTATGTTCACTGTATTACAAAGAGCCCTATTTCACAAAATAAGTTAGCTTTTAGTTCTTGAGGTATAAGGTTTCCCTTCATGTGGAAAAATATTGAGCTGTAATCACATTCTCCTGTGCTCAAGTTTGATAGCATCTTTCTATTAAAACCTCTTTCTGGATAGCTTAGTGTAATGTTCCATATTAGTTGTCCATTTAAATAGCGCATTTAAGCTATTTTGATGCCCTTATGTTAGGTGCCACTTTTAATATTTTTGTTACCCTTTCCAACTTCTGAATTTGGGATGTAATGGAAAGTGTCTTCCAAGTATCTTCTAAATAACACAAGAGTACCGTGCCATGCAACTCCTGGACAATGAAAGACTGTGACTGACACTGCAGTTAACTTGCATGGTTTAAATGCTCTTCCATGGATTCTCTCAAGATTAGGTAATCTGGCCTCTTCACATCAACTTCCACAGGTTTACCAATTCTATAGTATTTATAGTATTCCAAGTGCCTCCTTATATTTTCTTTCTTTGTTTTATTGTTTGCCATTAGATTCCACTTCTGTTCTGACTTCTTCCTCCTAGCCTCTGAGGGAGGTTTTCTGCACAAACCTGCAATACCTGACCCAAAACAGCAGAATATACTTTTAGACTTTAAGCTCTTTGGAAGTTTTTCACTGTCTGTACAGTTCCTAGTATGATGGGTCCTTAACTTCCTTTAGAACTCTAGGCACAATGTTATACAAATACTACTACTAATAATAATGTATAATATATTTTACAAGTCTTGTTTTACTGATCATTTTTGATTGCAGGGTCTGAAAGCATAGGCAGAGATGTTCCAGGTATTATAACTGATACAATGAAGACAGGATTTTCTCCAAGTTTGAGGCACCCAAGCAAATGAATAGTTGAGCTCCTTCATGCATTTGCCTGCTAAACCTGAAGTAGCCTCAGGCTTTTATTAGCTTAATCATTCACAGAGAGAGAGAGAGACATGACTATACTCCATTATGTTAACAGTTAATATTAGCAGTGTGGGGTTTTAACAATAGAGGAAGATCCAGCACTAGAAGCAAGTCTCCAAACGCAAGTGGTCTAGAAATTCCAAGTACTTAGAGTAATAGTGTGGGATGGTAACCAACCTAGAAGTCTACATGCACCAGAATATATTTTCCATTTTGAAGTGCTACAAAGTGGTACATTGCTTTAAAATTTCTATTACAATTCAATCCCACCCACCCTTTAGAGAACCTAAAATCACAAATAATCAGAGGAAACCAAGTACAATGCCTACTTATAGCTCTAGTGATGTATGTATTTATTTTTTTCACCCTATGCAAAAGGAAAAACACTAAGGTGAATGATTTTGGGTGTGGGTCAAAAATAAAGGATTATGCTGTCAGGGAAGTGAGGATTATCACTTACCTCCCTAGTCCAGAAGTTTCCCACTCAGGGGCTGGGATGTATCTGAAGAGTACATGTAATGGAAATTTGTAGGATTAAATTAACTGCAGCTGATTGGAAGCACCTGATGGAGAAGAGGTGAGAATACCTGCTGTTTTAGACCTGTGAATATGATAATCCCCAAAACTGACTTTCTGGTCTTCTGCCCTCAAAGTAACTATTAAGATCAAAAGTTGTCTATCCACTGGGGGAAAAAACTACTATGAGTCAGTTATAGTAAGTTGCTGGAAAACAGTATTTTAGACAAAGAAAAAGAATCCAGCTATGGGTTTAATTTAAGCTATTAATACCACAGTACCAGTGATCACATAGCAGAGAAATTTAGATGGTGTCAAAGGGGTTAAAAATTTTGGCTGACAAGTTCAGAAACAAAGCAATCACAAAATTCAGGATCTGTTTTTATTCCCCTATTAAAATATTTAAATGCAGAAGTTGAAACAATAAAACCAGATCTTACCTAGTAAGTGTGTACTCCCTGAGTCCTGAATGCAGGTTCATGGCTGAAAAAGTACCTATGCATCCACGCAATCGTTTATCTCGACCAATCTTCCACGTTACAAACAGCGGGCTGTTTTAGGGAGGAAGAAAAGGCATGTGTGACAGCAGAATTCTTACAAGTGTTACAATATTGATAGTCAAAGTGGTATTTCAATAAGATAGTATTTCTCTGTTGCAAAACTAAACAAAGCCTACAAATTAGCTGCTTCTGCACTGGCCATAGTATTCGGAAGCCTATTTTACTATTTCTGTTTTGTCTACTGTAGAAAGGCCCATGTCATTCAGATACAAATGCTGGAAACCAGACTAGTCTCTAGCTACAATACTCAATAGCCAGAGAATCAAATCTCTTGCTAGCTGACATGATGCATTTTGTATGTTTGCTTATCTTCCATTAGACTCTCCCCAGAAGCCAAGAAATCTTCCCTCAGACATCTCTTTGCTATAGAAGGACAGTTCTTATGAGACCGCCACAGAACAAAGGATAATATCCCATTCATACTAGTCATACAGAAAATCCTTGCTCTTTTTAATTGTCAGCTGAGCACTAACAGAATCCCCCGTAAGGCAGGCAAAAGGCATTTAAGGACAGATGCTATCTAGATTTTAAAATATAAGCCTTTACAAAGGAAATTTTCTCCACGATGTTCAAGTCTCTCTTGGCGACTAGCCTAGCTTCTGAAAGATGATAATCAGTAGTGCAAAGGCCAGAGTGGTATCTTCTCTGTAAACAGTCCAATTCAGCAGCCAGCACTCATTTTCTGAGCTCAACATAAATCTTAATCTGTGCATGTGTAACAATTTTGCTAATTCACCCCCCCTTCTTAAAAAAAACCCTACTCTAAGTGAGCAGTAAGATTTTTTTTTTTGTAAGGTTGGTCTAAACCTCTATCAGTCCCACTTTCACCACTCAAACTTCAAAGAATACCAGGAAAATTTAAGCTTCAATTTATTTCTTTATTTGTTTATTTTTTAAAGCGAGCCTCACTAAGGGGCAACACAGATTACTGACTCCTACCAATAACACTGAACCACTTTAGTGGTGACCCATGCATACACTCGTGTGTGTGCAGTCCATTTGAAGTCAATGGAAGTACTCCGACGGTCACAAAGTTAAGCACAAGTGCCTATAGGACTGGGACCTTGGTTTTACCCACCTCAATCTGTGGGGACATGGGACAGATTATATTCTGTAAACGTGTGACAATGAACTCAGCTTCTTAAACATTAACATTTAGATAATCTGGTTTAACAGGATAATGTCAGATAGTTTAGGGCCAAAACATACATTAGTTTTGTTAAACAAAGATCAACGGAATTTTTTTTTAATTTAGTGAAAAAAAGAATTTGGATGTAAGCTTTCCCCTACAGTGGATGCAGCCCCAAACATTATAGCATTGTGCCAATGCGTGAGAACCAGAAAATTACATTGACTTGGTATTTTTTAATCCAGCGGTTCTCAAACTGTGGGTAAGGACTCCAAAGGGGGTCACAACCCCATTATAATGGGGTCACCAGGGCCAGCATTAGACTTGCTGGGATGCAGGGCTGATGCCTGAACTCCACCCGCACCCAGGGCAGTGGGGGTCTGGCTCTTCCCCCCCCCCCCTCTTCCCCCCTCCTTCCCCGGAGGGTCATGTAGTAATTTTGTTGTCAGAAGGGGGTCGTGGTACAATGAAGTTTGTGAACCGCTGTTCTAGTCTACTCATAGCCAAGATGGAACATGGCAGTCAAATGCAAAAAAGATAAATGGTTAAAGTTTTAAAAAATTTTATTTTAAGACATTGAAGGTATTAATGCAGGTAAGGCAAGTTCTAATGAAAACTGAACCTAGTTCATCTTTGAGCAAAATAACTTGCATATCAAAATCTAAATATTTTTGCAATTCTTTCTGCTGCCACAAGCTAGAGCATTACATTCATGTGGCCTAGACTGATCACTTCTCAAACTGTAGTCTATTGCTTGAGACATCACCTGTTTCTCCTATATTTAGCACTTGTTCTATCCTCCCTGCTCTCACCAAGGGGACAGGGCTTGGAGAAGGGGCCAGGGAAGCAGACAACTTGACTCAAGTTGGTAGATTGAACCTGGGGAGTGTCAGCATTTGGAGCAGGGATAAAGTGGGGCATGGGGGGTGTCGAGAGGGAGATAAGGAATAGCAAAGGTAGGCAAGGGAGTAAAAACAACTAGGGCAAGGGATTCTAGCAGGCAAGCAAACAGAGAAACAGGAAGTGCATGATGGGTGGGATAGGAGGATCGAGGAAGTATATCGGGGAGAGGGCATGGGCACTGAACAAATTGGCAAGCTGGGACAGAGAAAAAAGCAGTCTCTCTCTGGGGCAGTAGGTAGAGTGTCTGGATGGGGGAAGGAGTCTGGACACTAGCAGAGGTAAGCCCTGGGGAGCAAGAGCAGGTGGAGTTGTAGGCAGAGGGAGAGGGAAGTTCATGTAGTTCCTGGATCCCCAGTCCCCTGAAATATGCAGGGTTGGAATTCAAGTCCTACAGAGTTCTTGAGATGAACAGCCTCAGCTGGGAGTTCTGGAATGCAGGAAAAGGGCAGTGGGGGTCTGCAGAGGAGATGGGGTGGGAGAGAAAAGAAAAGCAGGAGGAGTCTACTGCATTTTCTGTTAAAAACAAACAAAATTACTTAGTAGTGAAATACAAATAAGAAGGTACAAATATCAGTCCTTCAGACATGTCCTTGTTTTAGTCTTTCCTATCTTTCCTATAAGCAATTTGTCACATATATGACTGATCACAATGGGGTCATAACTAGGAGGGGAGATATACACAAGACGCTCTTTATTAAGAAAAGTTGTGGCAAAAGATGTGTGCCATACTTGGTATCAAGACTTTGAAAGCATTGTATAAAATCTGCTACAGTAAGGCATGCATTTATCTCTTTCTACATCTGTCTAGAGCTCAGTTAGCAGTCAGGCATTATGGCGCCATGACCTTCATCCAGTCTAACAATATCCTGGAGAAATAAATCCTCTGAATAAATACATCTAAACCAGCTGCTACTGCCTCATGAATGCTGCACTGATTTTTCTACTTAAAATGTCCTTTGATTGGTCATGTTCCTCCCCCCCCCCCCCCCCGAGGTACCAAGGCTAGTCTGGCACAAGCCACCACTGCCAAGGCTACCTGGTTTTCCACTGATATTTCAATCAAAAATATCCTTAGGTGGTCACTGTCTTCTAAGAATGGAGGAATGTCTCATATTAGATTAATCTACTGGGTTTGAGAGTCAGATTACAAGGTGAATGCACCAGCTACTGTGTTTCTCTAAAGAAAGAAGCAAGATTAATAAAGATTATATGGGTACAGGAATAGCTCTGAAATGGCTGCATCAAAGAGAGATGTCAAAACAGATTTGGTGTTGCTATCAGCTGAGCATGAAGCTAGATGATAACCCTGGGAATACTGCACCACAAACTTTTCATTATGAGCTTTGAAAACCTTCTTGCACTCTCCTTTCACTTTCCATAACAAACTCCCTTTCTTTGAGGGACTAGTCAGATGACAGCCCAGAAGTTTCTCCTCTTTTGCAAGACAGTCACCTCTCCCTTGCCACCTTTCTTCTCCAAGCCCTAAAATATTTCAAAAACCTCAAGGTATTTCAATTTTGAAGCAGTCTAAGAACCAACCATTAGAGGGCCTTTTCTTATGGTATGAAGATCATAGTTCGAGACCACGGAAATATACAAAGTGCCTTTGAAGATGCAAGACCACCATGTGATTGTAGAATGGCAGGTGGCAAAAACTGTCCTATTTAATATTACTAGGTTAGATGTGGGCAGAGTATGCCATTAGTGTCCCCCCAATCACATGGCAAACTTTGAGGAGAGAGCATAGAATTAATCCCTTACTTTCAGAGACGAGTGAGTTATCGTAGCAATTTTTGGAAACTAATTTAGTTACAATGTTCTTGTGTGTCTGGGGCCA